GATAGATAGGATAGATTAGATAGATAGGATAGATAGGATAGATAGGATAGATAGGATAGATAGGATAGAAAGGATAGAAAGGATAGAAAGGATAGATAGGATAGATAGGATAGATAGGATAGAAAGGATAGATAGGATAGATAGGATAGATAGGATAGATAGGATGATAGATAGATAGATAGGATGATAGATAGATAGATAGATAGATAGATCGATAGATAGATAAGATAGGATAAGATAGCATAAGATTAGACAAGATTAGATAAGATTAGATTGGATTTAGTTCAGGTTAGATTAGATAAGATAAGATGAGATTAGATAGATAGATAGGTAGGTAGATAGATAGATAGGTAGATAGATAGATTAGATTAGATTAGGTTAGGTTAGGTTAGATTGGATTAGATTGGATTAGATAGATTAGATAAATGAGAAAAGAAAAGAACAGATAAGATAAGACAAGATAAGATAAGATTGATTGATTGATTGATAGATAGATAGCGTGATAGGATATATCTATGACCAGCTACAATTTGCTAACAGAATGTCACGGCAAAGGAGATTTACGAGGAATTTGCCTGAAACGCTGCTTTGGCCTAGAGTCCTAGAGTCACACTAGTCGCAGCCTGGGTGTGCACATCCTTTTCCATATCTACAGCCCAACCTAGATTTACCTTAAACGATGCTTAAAAAACGTGCTTGAGACCTGCTTTTAGCTTTGAATGCCGAACAAGCTCGCACAAACATGTTGAGGATTCACAAAGCGCGGCTGGCTGGACTAAGTACGGGGATCCAACCATCGACATCCAAGTCACACGTGACCAAAGTCCGATCTTCTCGCAGGCACTGACGGCTGCCTGAAGCGTTCTTTTCTGTCTCATTCTGTGTCATTCAGTCAGCACGGCTGAAGATAAGTAGGAACCACTGGCCAAACGTGGAAAAACACACAAGCACACAACATACAAACACACCCTACCTACCCAGCTTTATTCTGCCAAGTCACGCTGCAACACACCTCATTTGGGGCAATCTTCACCTGTCAAGCCAAAAAGGGTGTAGCGTGGCCAGGGAGAAGAACTTAAGCTTTGCTCAATGACTTCATTGACTTCATGGTGGTCTTCATTGTCAGGCTCTTTGCAAGCGATATGGAACGACTGAAATGAGTCATGCCAAATGCTGCAAATGACACTCCAATGTCTTTGGCTGCAAATGTGGACCAGCTAGGGCCTCTCTCATATCGCGCAGCAAGCGCAAAGCGACAAAGGGCTGAGCGCCCTTCTCGCAAGAACTGCGCCACGCTCAAGTCGGGGACTACACTTGAAATGGTGACAAAGAATGCAAACAATGCAAACAACGTAAACAATGCAAAGAATGCAGAGGAGATAATCACCCTAAGTCCAAAAAGTTCGCTCCAATTTGAAAGGAGATGCAAGCCCTGGACGGAAACCATAATTATTTGAAAATATATTAGCGTATCTCTGTGTGTGTGTGCGCGCCTCTCTCTCTCTCTCTCTCCCCTTTGTCCAACTATATGCACATATAATATATACACATCATACATATATGTACATATGCATTGTGTAAATAATGATAATATATATATATAATATTATACTATGTAAATATGCCTGTATAATTATGTATATACATGTATCAACCAGGTACTGTATCACAATGTATCTTATTGCCTTTTTATATCCAAAGCATCAGTTTGGCTTCGGAGCCTGATAGCCGAGCCATAGCTAATGACCTAGTGACAGTCTGAAAGGAACCCCTGCAAGGTGAGATATGTGAGCTCACATAAGGCGTGTGGTTGTGATCTCGCAACAAGGCATGGGAGGCAAGAGCACTATTTCAAAGGGCAGCTAAATCAGCAAAATCAGCCAAATGCTCTTGATGCCCTTGGACTTCTTGATTGTTTTTGATGCGTGGATTTTGAGTTGTTTTTGTTTACCACGACAGCGTCGACCAAACACATAAATAACATGGGGGCTTTGTATGGCTTTGTCAAAGTGGCATCTGGCGCGGGCATCTGTTGCAATACCAGGAGAGCACGTCGCCATGCACCACGGCGCACGCAAGAAGCAATGGCGGCGTTGTAGGAGACGGTGGTGGCGTAAAGCCTTGCCAAGCTGTGTCGTATGAAGCTAGCGCTTTACTTGAAACAACTGGCTGGAAACTTGCAAGATCTTGCAAGTGCACGTCAAAAGAACTGGACACTGTCGTGCAGTATCAAGGGCACCTCTAGACTATCTCACACACAGTCTCCTGCGAACAACATGATCTTGAACATTAAGAGCTGTCAATAGCAAAAGGATGCGAAAAGCTTGCTGCAAAAACTCAATGCTGGAAAACTGGAGGTACTTGGAAGTATATCTTTTCAATGTGAACACGATTGTTGGAGATTGTTGGTACTTGAACGCGCTTGCGATCTTCTTAGCTTTCTTGCACGTCAATGCCCGAAAATGATTGAACTTTGCCCAGCGCCCAGCCTTCTCGGCGCCATGCAGTCGAGCAAGTCCTGTGCTTGAGATGCGCGTCCAGCCACTGCCAAGGCGCTGATGGCTGCATTGAAGTTCACAACGTCTGGGTGTACCTGGCTCTGAAGAACGGCTTGGACTCACGTGCCGTCACATCTGGGTACAGAATGGTAAATGCCAATGTAAATACATAGACTGTCATAGACGCATGCATCCATACCTGTCCACACTATAGAGCGGCAAAAAAGAGTATATTGATTGCTGACCCATGAATGCGCCCAAATATGTCCAAACTCACAAAAGCTCAGCACGAATCACCTGGCATTTACACTATCAATACTGTAACATCCGCCTCACAGTTGCCTCTCAATGCACTATTGCCAACCATTGTCCACAGTTGCCCACCGTTGCCTGTGGGGTGACCAAAATGCGCAAGGCAGGAAACCACTGGCCCGACTTTTCACATGCTGTCATGGCCTCCAACACAGGCAAAGAGTCGAACGCTGTCAATGAGCTCAGCTGCTCATGCGTTGGACACCTGCATCCATCTGCATCCTACATCCTGGGACCCCTTGCGGCACCATAGAAGATGCAATTTGGAAGGAGAGCGAAAGCCTGGAGTGGCCGCATCTGGGAAAACATGGACAAATATCGTACTTGACAGAGAGAAACGCATCAGTCCTGAGAATTCCATCAAGTGTGGGACAATGGAAAGAAAGCGGCTTCTTGATGCCTCAATATCTCAAATTGCCCCACGCACCTACCCAAATCTATTCAGATCAGACTTGGCTGACTCAAAGGGATCCGCATGGCCACTGTGTGGATCTCAGTGCCCGATGCCTCCGCCTGTCTCAACAGCTGCAGGGTGCTTCTCCATCGACTGCTGCAAGCCTTGCAGGCTGAACTGAGACCTGGCTCAGGGTTCTCCGGCAACCAACCATAGTTGTGGGATGTCGTGGGGAATGTGGCAGCCAGCGTGCCCGGCCTATGATATCCAACTGCACACTTGCGATGCAGGCAACTCCCAGCAAACTCAGACTGATGGCCCATTGACCACCGCATAAGGAGCTTCCGACGGTATTGAAACCTTGCCGGAACCAGCAAGCATCACCAATCCCAACTTCTCCAGCTACAGTTGGGAAATGTTGGGCAAAGGATTTGATGTCAGAACTAAAGCCTCGTAGATTTGATTTGATTTGATTTGATGTCAGGACCAAAGAATGATAAAAATAGGAATTTCCAAATCGCCCCAAATCTGAGTATGCTGACCAGGTGGCTCACTTGGTCCAGCGAATCGCCTGCGGAAATTGTAGAGACCACGTGGGTCAAGCGGCTCAATCCATCCATCCATGCTGAACCGGTGGCCAAGGCCTCACTTGAAGTGTGATGACATGATGACATGGAACACGACATGGGCGAATTAGCCATACGACCACACGACATCCATACAACCCATCTCTGGTATCAAGAGAACGGTACGAAACAGTGAGAATCTGAAGTGAAGATAAGTCTAATAGTTCTATATAGATCCTTCAGGTAAACATGCAAATGCACGCACACAAACACACATCACACAAAAACAATGGAGAAGATGCCAAGCTTGGCTGGCGGGACAGAACTTATAAAGTACCCACCACGATAAGTAATGAATATTGTTGCCTCTGTATGACAATGTTCAGTGTGCAACATTGAAGTATGTCCTTTGCACGCGCACACACTAGCAAAGAACTGGATCATTGTAGTAATCCGTCGGGAACTGAATCCCAAAACTTGCAATTAAACAAGATAAGTGATATATATATATATATCTATATATATATATATCTATATATATATATCTATATATAAATATATATGAGACTATGGTGGCCATCAGCTGCGACTTAAATGCGCCCAGGTGCACCACCAAAGTCCCGCAGGTACGTTTGCACGGGTCCCGGGGAGGTGTCTTGGTTGATCAGCGGCCCCCCCGGGACCCCGGTGATCCCCTGCTTTAGCTGCCAGCGACGAAGTTTTACGTCTGTTCAAACGTTCCGCTTGAGCAGGGTGTAGTCCTGAAAATGAGATGAAGGTGAGGATGAAAACAAGGATGAGAGTGAGATGAACATGAAGATGACATGGAAAATTACTTAGCCGCTTAGCCGGGACACGAGGAGGGGAACGCAAAAGAAGAGGGAGAGAGCAAACACCAACACCAACACACCTGGCCCGGAGGGGGCAAACCCTGAAAGGGCAAGAGAAAAGAAAAGCGGAGGCCGACGGAAACGGAGCAAAACCAGCGGAGCGGGGGGAAAACAGAAGCGCCTGAACCAACCTACCACGGCGAAACCTAAGCCTACCGCAGCACGTGCAGGACCCAACCTACCTAAGAAGGGAAGCACAAGAATAGGGGACCGAATAGGGAACTAGTTGATGAAGCCGTGCAAAACAACAGAATTGATTGAATTGGGATTCAGTTCCTGCCCAGGGAGTCGTGCGTTATGCCCTGGAGGGGACGGTAGTCGGTCAACCCCACGAGTGGGCATTAAACAGCTGTTCAAATTCAAATGAAGTAGGCGCACAAAATCGTCAACCTCATCAAATACCAAAGAAACCATACCTGCAGGAAAAGGACATGCCTGTTGCCTCCGGTACCCCATGTCCTGTTGCAATGCGAGACTCTGCTGAAAAATAGTTTCCGGCTGTTCGGGGCAGCATCACTTGAGCAAACTTGGAGGGTTTGCGAAGTTTCCATAGACGACAGGAGCAGCAGGACATCCCAAAAAAGGTGAGGCACGGCAAGGCTGACTTGACTGTTGCACTTTACGTAGACGAATTACTAAATTAACATGTGTAAATTCAGAGGTCGGTCAGTCGACATTCACCTTAAAAAAGGTTCCCTCAGTTGGGTTCATGTCACCATGTTGGAGCCGCCATGGAAATCACACTAGAAAAGAACTGGATCATTGTAGTGATCCGTCGGGAACTGAATCCCAAAACTTGCAATTAAACAAGATAAGTGATATATATATATATATAATAATAATAATATAATAATAATTATATGTATATATATAATAATATATATACATTGTGGGACTATGGTGGCCATCAGCTGCGACTTAAATGCGCCCAGGTGCACCACCAAAGTCCCGCAGGTACGTTTGCACGGGTCCCGGGGAGGTGTCTTGGTTGATCAGCGGCCCCCCGGGACCCCGGCGACCCCTTGCTTTAATATAATATTAAAAATGAGCCGCCGGCGAAGTTTTACGTCTGTTCAGACGTTCTACACACAGACGCACATAATTTGCGTTTATATGCATGGCATATCAACCATACTCAGCTCACACACACACATAATCATGCATGTATATATATATATAATTATATATTATATATATATACTTTATTATACTTTGGGACTTTCGGGTCACTTTTGCCCTCTTTGAATTGCTTTTGGCTAGCTGCTGTCAAGAACTGCTCTACGTTGAGTTGAGCAGCGTTGAGAGCAACGTTGAAACTGACAAGATTTGTTTCCACGAAGTTGTTGTTGGCGGCGTGAAATAACCTGTTGCACATGGCATCACACGGCTGCTAGGCTGGCAACATTTTTGTACCATTGACGTGGCACCTCTTAACGCAAATCGTTAGGTCACACCGTTCAATCAGCACAAGAGGGAAGATTCACCGGAAAAATAAGGAAATCTTCTCTTGGCATAAAAAAAATGTGTCAATCCAACTAGTTGACAGCAATGCGGAGTGGCAGTGGAGAGGCTGCTCCTGAAACATTTGTACCCCATGGACTTTATGAGACTTGAGTTGGACATATTTGGAAGTGCTTTTGGAAAAACATGGGCCGAAACAAGATGATCAGAAGAACAACGGCTCAAAAAGGGCAACTTCCTTTTCAAAGACTCTTGCTCACTGGGTACCCGTAATATTGAAGGCACGTGCAATCACTCACACACACACACAAGTTCGTTGCATTTCCTTGCATGCTCTGTTCTGAGGTGCAAGACCCTTACCTAGAACCCTCACGGAGCAAACCTGTGAAATGCCAATTTGGGTCGATGCGAGTCATGCCATGCTGCCTGAGTACTACACTTGCTTTCCTGCCTTCCACTCTCATGTTCTTGACCAACGGGAAGGCTTGTCCAGAGTCTGTAGTCACATCTACTGTAAAGAGTTTGATGGCCATGGGCCATGGTCGATCATTCACTACATTTCACCACTACGGCCTTGAGACATCTTGTTAAGACCTAATTACTTTCTTCGACTGATCCCCACCTTGAAACACTATTCTGAAATAGTTTCTGGCATTCTGACATACCATTGATACCATCTGGAAGTATATACATATATATATATATGTCACTTATTCTGACATTCTATCTGACATTCTTCCTGGTATATATATATATACTTTTTGACATTCTATGTGACATTCTATCTGGCATCTATTCTGACATACTTTCTGGATCTTTCTGGGATGTATTCTGACATACTTTCTGGCATGTATTCTGACATTCTTCTGGCATTCCATCTGGCATCTATTCTGACATTCTATCTGGCATCTTTTCAGGCATTCATTCTGGCATTCTTTCTGGCATCTGTTTTGACATTCTCTCTGAGCTTCTTTCTGGCGTTCTATCTGACATTGTCTCTGGCGTCTGGCTGAGGTCCGGCAGTGCCCACTGAGCTCTGGAGCTTGCGGTTGAGGTCCGGCAGTGCCCACTAATCTCTGGAGCTTGCGGTTGAGGACGAGGAGGAGAAGAGGAGAAGAGATCTAGAGACCCTCACCTGGCAGGTGGGGAAAAACAAATGAAAACAATTCTTCTGTACTTCATCATCCTCATCAATTCTCTCAAGTGACAGCAGCGCTTGGCGCCATTTCCCCTGGCGCAGCTGCGAAGAGATCTTCTTCGTCACCCGGACAACATCTGCCTTGTGGCTTTTTGACGCAGAGATCTTGAGAGCAAACAATTTGAAACGCACAAATGTGCCTCGGGGACTCTTCCGCCGCTCATCCATGACAGAGATCCGAGAGTGTGAAAACATCAGCCGTATTCGGTAATTATTATGTTGCTTCAATTCAAAAATGGCTGTGAACAACTTGCGCTTGCTGGCGTATGCTTCATCAGCTGAAATGTTTCGAGTCCTACAGTCCTACATGTTCGTTCCAGCATAGCGGCATAGCGAAAAAAACGTGGCATACAGGAAAGGCAGGTTCTTGAGACAATCTGGTATGTTGTGATGCTGCCTAATGTTTGTTCCTCGAATCACCGGGATAGATGGGAGAGTGATGGAACATGAGCCCTACGTCTGGATTCACAGAAGTTCTTGCTTTTGGCATATTTTGGTACTGAGCTTGGCATTTGGCAATGTGTGCCGACTACATTGTGGATCATGAAGGCTTCTACTTGCCAAAACTATGCAACAATTTTTGGGTGTGTCAAGCAGCTTGCTGGAATGCTGCTGTATCTGCTGTGATGAAACCCGATCCAACCTCTACCATGATGCCATCAGCTATGCAATGAACAAATACGTTTTTTTTCCCTCCCGCTTGCCCTTAAGTCGCCCCGCACTCTTCCCGAGTGCGTGCAAACCCACTAGAATTGGACATCGTTTAAACATGTAAGCTCCAGCAGCGTAATGACACAATCACAGCAAGTCCAGCAACTTCCATTCTACCTTTACTGCAGACACATTTCCTCAAACTGTCAACATGATCAACATGGAAGGTCATCGCACTATGTTTCTTTGGGAAAGAACATGGTTGCCATCCAAATGCTGGAAGCTTACTGCCCCTCTCAGGCGTGATGCAACACCCAAGGCTACCCCGATCTGTGACGGTGAAACATACGGCAACCGCTCGCCGCAAATCTTCTCATTTCTAAGCATTCTGAGCCTGGAGCAGGTGACAAGTGACAAATCCCTCTGTGCCAAAAATCGGACACTAGACTCGTGCAAAGGTGTTAATTATAATCTATTGGCCAAAAAAACACCAGAAACATGTCTCAATTGCAGCTGGAACCTGATCTTTTGAAGTTTGTTCAACGAGCTACCCCGACCGTCACTCCCCGACCACATAGACCTTGATTAGACAAAAACAACAGAAACTAAGTTTGGGTCCATGCAGTCAAGCATGGTTCATGATGCGTCCCACTGTACCAACAACTAAAATCAACTATATAGATTTAAATAAAACACGTGTGTATATATATATGTATATATGTATATATATGTAGAGATATGATATGCACTTATTTTCACATATAATATGATGTAGCCTCCCAGAATCTATCACATCCTTCACCAGCACCACATCCCAGCAAGCCTGGGTGACTGTGTCTGCATCCAGCTCTTTCAATTTCTCAATGGCCCATTCTGGTGCAGTATCATCGCACCAAAGGCCTGACATGATTGTGTCAAAATGTGTCAAACGCTGTAGGGTTGAATGCTGCCAGAATCAAACTGCTACGGTCTACGGTGCTTTTGTTTTGACTCCCAAGGGGCTGTAGTGTGGTGAGGAGAGGATGGTGGTTGGGACGATGGTTGCCACTATTTGCCACTTGTAGCACATTTTTCCGGTTTGCTTCCCTCCCTATGGACTACTTTTTGGGGTACGGGAGGCGATCGTTGCATATCAAACATTTGCAACAAAACCAAACACGTTCCGTCCATGGTGGAAAGCCTGGGATGTCAACCCGGATTAATACACCCTGATTTATTAATTATGGTGGTACCACCAAATGGTGACAATCTGATACTAAAATGGTACCCCCCCAGATCAAACAGCCTAGGCCCTAGGGCGTTATTTGCCCAGGGCTGACAGCATAACAAGAAATTAGGTGCAAACATTGACGAAAGAAAGCAGCAAAACACAGAAGTTCCGACAGGGTGCAATCCTTGACTAAGCTTCGTATCAAACCCGCAAGGCAGGAGTGAAAGAATGGTAGAATATGATAGAATATGTAGAATTGAATAATTACACCCATACGCCAAAGTCCTTGCAATGTTTGCGTTTGACAGCTATTCCCAATCAAAACGCTCGCCACGACCCCTGTCCCGGCACAGACCTTGCAAAACCCCTTTCCCCATTGGAAACGCTAGCTTTAACAAGCCTTGACCAAACTATCATGGTTCTATTCGTTTTTGATCCAATCCCATCGGAACGCCGGTTTCCAACGGGCCTTTTTTCGTGGGCACTGTTGACGCCCACAAACAAAAACGCGAAGCAGGCCCTTTTCCTAGTTTGTATACTGCAGGATGGGTTCTGATAAAGGAAAAAAAACGAGGTCCAAAACGAGGTCCAAAACGAGGTCAAAACGAGGTACGGAAAAAGCCCCGCATCTACACACATGGACTTTGGCCCGCAAGCCGCAAACCTGCCCTTCCTTGGATCATTGGTAGCGAAACAATGACAATTTGCAGAATCCCAGCACACCGCCATGGCAGTGTAGAGATGATAATCCCAGCGTTGTGTAGAAGTACCCGGAAACAGCAACAGCAGCAGCCGTCGAACCAGCAGCCGCAGCAACAGCAAGACGCCAGTAGCTGCAGAACCCAACAGCAACCATCCCAAACACAATGAGAACGCAACTAGCAAGATTAAAGCACTATGCTAATAGTAAAACAACGCCCTACCCCAAACACAACCTAAACGCCGCTTCGCCACTTTAGGTCTACATGAGATAGTAAAACAGCAACCTACCCTAAACACAAGCTAAACGCCGCATCGCCACGACTTCCACAAAAGCCTTCCCCCAAGCTAATTTCAAGATTTTTGGGATTTCGCCACGACTTGGGCAGTTGGGAGTAAAATGTCAATAGTGTACGGGAACCTCCTGTAAACATGGGTGCCTCCGCCCCATTTGCCTTTCAACTTCATGACAAAGGAGGAAGCTCTCCAAAGAGTTCCGCCTAAATCCAATTGTTATTTTTTTTCCACCCCCCTAAATCTGCCGGCGCGCGTCAGAAACATAGGGTGAGGGGGGGTCCTCCCACCAGGTTTCGGCGAGGAGCTGGGGGAGGGGGGGGTGGGCCGTCCGCGGCCCAGCGCAGCGGTCAGGCGGCTGCCGTAGATCGTGCCCAGGCTGGTTCAGTTCGGGCGCGTGCTCGGGCGAGGTGCCGGACGAGGTGCACGGCTTCGGAAGACCACCTCCAAACCAAACACTGCAAGACGGCAGCGGGTGCTGGATTGGAATTCAGGGTAGGTCTGGGTGAAGTTTCGGCGTGCGGCTTTGTGGAGTGTGACACCGGGTTCACCGGCGGCTCTGGGGCGGGGTTCGCCGTTGCGGTGGATGGGGCTCACCAAGGTAGCGTCGATTGCGATTTGCGCGCCGTGCCACAGCGGCAATCCGCTAACGAGGACTTCGATCGCACGTGCGTCGGGGGGAGGAGAGGGGAGGTTCATGTCCCGCAGGAAAATGTTTGTACGGACAGGGCCCCCTGCTTCGCGGCATATCCTGGCCACGGCGCGTTCCACAGGGATGGAGCGAAGGAATCCGGAGGTGGCACAGGCGGCGCGATGGTCTCCCAAAGAATCAAGGGCGCCGCCGCAGCTGCAGCGGTGGTTGAAGGGGTAAGCGGAGGGTGTACTCCGGATATCTCCGGATTCGCAGGGTACACGGTGAGAGAGCGACTCGCATAGGGACCAGCCTGGGAATGCAAGAGCGCGCGCGAGGAAGGGTCTAGGTCAGAAAGGAGTGCGGCAAGCTCGTTGCGGTCTTGGCGAGGCGTTGCCACCCACAGGGGTAGTCTCCAGTGTCACGCGGGAGGCCCTGAGGGGTTGCGGGCCCGGCAAGGTGAGGGTGTCCCATGCAGGGGGTTGGAAGCCTTGGGCGCGAAGGGCATGGGTCGCTTGTGTTGCTTCTATGAGGGGGTGCACTTCTCCGCGCAAGAGGTGAAGGATCCTGTCTGCCGCGGCTGGTAGCCGGCGGTGGATGGCGGGAAGGCTGTCGGCCCAGGACTGCTTGGCGGCTAGCATGAGCCGACCGTAAGCCGAGGCCGCCGGCGGCGAGGGGGAGGCGGGCGCGCTGTTGGGCTTGGATGGGAAGGGGCGTTCCTTCGGTGAGATGCGGGCAAGGCACGCGGCGATGGCGGTATCATGCGCCTGTGCGAATTTATCAATAGTCTATAATATACAACCGTCAGAGTCAGAGGTTCCAAAAGCATCCATGAGAAAATACAAAGAATGGAAGGAAAGGAAAGAAGGAGGGAAGGAAACATGTTCTCTCCATCCATTACTGTAGTTGAAAAAGCAAGCATGAGAACACAATCCAATGAACATGATTTGAAATTCTCATTTGCAGTCAGAATCCCTAATTCTGGGAATGTTTGATGAAATCCACCCCGAATGGCGCCCGTCAATTGTTTTTGGGGGAGGCCGCTGGCTTCGACTGGAGATGTACTTCGAGGTCAACTGGAACTTCTTTCCACTTGTGACCACAATGTCATCTTAAGTTGCATTAAGTTTCTGAACCCACAGGATATCACAAATTCATACAAAATTACACTCTTCCATACCAATCATTACCAATCCACCATGAGCCTTGCACAAAGTTCGATCTTTTCATCATTTTGGTTGTCCATTGCTGGGGTCATTGCAGTGGCCCGTGCATGGATATCATGGATAATGCAGCCCCTGAAATGCGCACCTTCGCGAGTGTCGCTCTTGATGAAGTCTGGGTGGCCTGGATGGAAACCGCCCAACCTTGGCCGTCTATGGCCATGTGGCGCGCAGAAAAAAAAGAAAGATAGGGATAAAAACTCCAAACAGCAAAGCTTTGCATTGCAGGCATTGAACCATTTTAATCCATTATAGTTCATTTTCACTTTTTGCTACCTGATGTACAACTTGTCCTAGGCCAATTTGAGGTGCTGAACCATGTTGAACCAACAGGTTGCATCGAATAAAACGCTATTGCTCAGAAGGTCACTGCTGTAGGGTGGAAGCAAAATGAAAGAGGTGTAGAGATGCGTAAAGAATCGTAAAAATGTGTATTTCTGTGTATTGTATCAGTGTTGTCTAGCCAATAGTGATACCTTGGCAATAGTAGAAACTTTTTTTCCCAACTCCAGTTTTATCTCCAATACTAAAAGTCAATTAGCTTATATAATTCGATTTTAGTATTGCCAAAAAACTCATGTTCTGATCTTGTCCAGAGGGCATGGCCAATAGTGGCCCCAACATGGCAATAGTAGAAACTTTTTTTTTTCCCAACTCCAGTTTTTTCTCCAATACTAAAAGTCAATTAGCCTAATTTAATTTTAGTATTGCCAAAAAACTCATGTTCTGACCTTGTCCAGAGGGCATGGTATAGTTTTTCAGATGTTTGGAGAAAGCAAAGTAAAGCAAAACCCTTTTCAAAGCTGCAAGCACTTTACATTAATGAACGCTTAGATTCCAGAAATCTGATCCAATTACCAAACAGCTGATTTCCTTATAAAACCCTTATTAAAAACAACAAGAAAACAGGTCCACAAAGGGTATCCCCTTTGCAAGCCCCAGAATAGCAATAATAAACCTGCACCAGGCATGGCAATAATGAATTCCAATTGTGCTTCCCCTGGTTTTGTTTTCAGATGTTTGGAGAAAGCAAAGTAAAGCAAAACCCTTTTCAAAGCCAAATCCATTCAGAATCCATCAAAAACCCAACAAAACCATGGAGAATCTATCAGATACATATCATGATCCCAGCCATAGGGTTCCAGGAATTTACTATTGGAATGCTGACCCCCCCTAAAAAAAAGGAAAATTTTCAAAAATTTAGGGGGGGAGAGTTTTATTATTAGGCGGCCAACATTAGACAGAATTGGCTGTTTCGCGGCGAAGCACTTCTTCGCTTCTCTACAGTCCAGCCAGCCCATCCTTAGCTTTGCATTTGCTGGATGCCGATTCAAATCATGAGAACAGCGACAATGACACGAACCCAACACATCAACACCGTCCCAACATGGCAACTGTCAGGCCCTCCCAAAGAGCGCACACCTTCTGAAAAGGTCTATTGCATACATTACTAAGAGGAGCCGCCGCACAAACCTAGTTTCTCACTTCATTGTACCCACATTGGTCGCATTGCAATTGCTTTCCTGAAAGCACCATTCTACACTGCCCACGCAAAGGATTCCATGTTGGTTTCCAAATCTTCCAATGGTTTCCGTTTCCAAGCTAACTCTGTCAGGATCACAATGTTGGGCTGAGATCCTATTGCCAGAGTGTGTTCCAGCCATGCTGCCATACCCTATTTCGCTCTAATTTTGATAATTTTGAATAATTTTGACATATTTTGACGGGGCACTCGTCTGGCCCCAACAGTTCTTTCCACAAGCGTTCGATCTCAGTGGGATCGGTCAACTTCGGAGAGAAATCAGGGGACTGAAGAGGATCCACAGAATCGCCAACTTTCTCCTGGGATTCCTGGGCAAAGCACAAAGGCTATGAGCGAATTGGATTTCATGAACACAACATGCAAACAGGTTTGCAATGGAACGCAATATAGTTGTAATTCGATACTAGAATATACATATGAATATACTAGACATATAGATATATACATTATGTGTATATAAATATAAATATATACATATATAATCATACATATATATAATTATATATATATATTTATACACATGGAAACATATGGAACGACGAGAGCCGGCGGGGTTTACCGTTGAAACTCCAGACCGATGACATCTGGACCGCATCTTACAATATCTTGCAGTATCTTACAGTAGGATATGAATCTTCCAGCACTCCTGCAGGTGAGATTCTGGAGTGGCCAATTTGTCTTCAATTTCCATCAACTTGGTCGCAACCCAATCTGGAGTGTCGTAGCTGTCTAACCAGAGCGGCATCTCATCTTCTTTGTGCCTGAAGTCAGGAAATCTGGGGCTACGCTTCTTTGTTCGAAAGTCTTCCCATTCATGTGGAGAGTCGATCAAGCCTTGCCATAAGTGCTCTTTTGCGGAACTTGCTCGAGTTGAGGAGGATGAAGTGGCCAATTTGTCTTCCATTTCCATCAACTTGGTCGCAACCCAATCTGGAGTGTCGTGGCTGTCAAACCAGAGCGACATCCCATCTTCTTTGCGCTTGAAGTCAGGAAATCTGGGGTTACGCTTCTTGGTTCGAAAGTCTTCCCATTCATGTGGAGAGTCGATCAAGTCTTGCCATAAGTGCTCTTTTGCGGAACTTGCTCGAGTTGAGGAGGACGAAGTGGCCAATTTGTCTTCCATTTCCATCAACTTGGTCGCAACCCAATCTGGAGTGTCGTGGCTGTCAAACCAGAGCGACATCCCATCTTCTTTGCGCTTGAAGTCAGGAAATCTGGGGTTACGCTTCTTGGTTCGAAAGTCTTCCCATTCATGTGGAGAGTCGATCAAGTCTTGCCATAAGTGCTCTTTTGCGGAACTTGCTCGAGTTGAAGAGGATGAAGTGGCCAATTTGTCTTCAATTTCCATCAACTTGGTCGCAACCCAATCTGGAGTGTCGTAGCTGTCAAACCAGAGCGGCATCCCATCTTCTTTGCGCTTGAAGTCAGGAAATCTGGGGTTACGCTTCTTGGTTCGAAAGTCTTCCCATTCATGTGGAGAGTCGATCAAGTCTTGCCATAAGTGCTCTTTTGCGGAACTTGCTCGAGTTGAAGAGGATGAAGTGGCCAACTTGTCTTCCATTTCCATCAACTTGGTCGCAACCCAATCTGGAGTGTCGTAGCTGTCTAACCAGAGCGGCATCTCATCTTCTTTGTGCCTGAAGTCAGGAAATCTGGGGCTACGCTTCTTTGTTCGAAAGTCTTCCCATTCATGTGGAGAGTCGATCAAGCCTTGCCATAAGTGCTCTTTTGCGGAACTTGCTCGAGTTGAGGAGGATGAAGTGGCCAATTTGTCTTCCATTTCCATCAACTTGGTCGCAACCCAATCTGGAGTGTCGTGGCTGTCAAACCAGAGCGACATCCCATCTTCTTTGCGCTTGAAGTCAGGAAATCTGGGGTTACGCTTCTTGGTTCGAAAGTCTTCCCATTCATGTGGAGAGTCGATCAAGTCTTGCCATAAGTGCTCTTTTGCGGAACTTGCTCGAGTTGAAGAGGATGAAGTGGCCAATTTGTCTTCCATTTCCATCAACTTGGTCGCAACCCAATCTGGAGTGTCGTAGCTGTCAAACCAGAGCGACATCCCATCTTCTTTGCGCTTGAAGTCAGGAAATCTGGGGTTACGCTTCTTGGTTCGAAAGTCTTCCCATTCATGTGGAGAGTCGATCAAGCCTTGCCATAAGTGCTCTTTCGCGGAACTTGCTCGAGTTGAAGAGGATGAAGTGGCCAACTTGTCTTCCATTTCCATCAACTTGGTCCCAACCCAATCTGGAGTGTCGTAGCTGTCAAACCAGAGCGACATCCCATCTTCTTTGCGCTTGAAGTCAGGAAATCTGGGGTTACGCTTCTTTGTTCGAAAGTCTTCCCATTCATGTGGAGGGTCAATCAAGTCTTGCCATAAGTCATCCTTGGAAGAAGGAGGTTTCCATAGGTTGCCTTCCTCATTCAGCCGCTCCTCAACCCATGCAGGAGTTTCTTCGTTATTAATCCACAGCGCCTTGCCATCTTTCTCCCTTTTGAAGTCTGGGAATTGTCTCGTTTTCTTGTCAGCCCTGCAATCGACCCAGTGATCCGGTGAGCTAAACAAATCCTCCCAGAGACTGGCGAAGCAATGGCAGCTCCAAATGGATCCAGCAACAAGCAGAACATGCCACGCCCGCGGCTTGCTTCGGCGAACGGAGGTTCGACGGGGCGCCATCAAGGCCAGGCTGCTGGGCTTCACAATACTCAAACCAACTGCAAAACATGCACTCAACACTCTGCGTCGAGCTGCCAGCGATTACTCCTGAGATTTAGGACAGAAGTGACAGAAGTGGTCTCAACATGTCAAAGCAGGCAATAAAGATAATAAAGGATAATTACATACAAGTACTTGAACAAGTGGACACACACTGCCATGATCTCTCTTTTCGTCATGAATTCACCAAGCATAGCCGCCGTAGCCTTTCATGATCGTGCAGGCGGGTAGGAGGGCTTATGGATTTGCTGTGCTGAGATGATCTGATGTGCTTCAAACAGGCCAAACAAAACCAAATGTTATCCATACTTCTGATCTGTCCATCTTCTGTTACAAACCATGCTAGAAACTCCTAAGAGTGCACTGAACATGAGACATCTGATAAGGTCGATTGTTCAAGCATGTAGTATACGTATGTATACGTGTGTATTTTTTTCTTTTGTGCTTATTTGTCTCATCCTTTCACGTGAAGCCCTTGTCACTAAAATCTGACTCCGAGACCCGAACGAGCTACAAATTCTTGGGCCATTTTGGCCCAAAAGGGAAACTGTACATTCTCTGTTTTTGCTGCGTTACGTTCACCATTTTTCCCGATTGGTTATCGTCTACCTCTGTCGGCGTTCTAGCAGGTTTGTAATTGCACACTTTTCAGGCTGAGAATGTGAGTTCACGAACTACTTGTTCACACGGCCAAGCAGATATGACCTATATATTATAATATATTAATATATATTATATATACGCAAAACAAGGCAACGCTGCAACAAAGGCTCGGTCCGTTATCAAGTGTCTTTGCCATGCCCATGCGTCGAATACGATCAGCTCAAATTCTTAAAAAGGTGCCTCCGTTCAATATGTTCAATTCAATTCTTGTCTTGGATCTGCTTGGCCACCGCTTGGTGAACGGAAAACGTGTGCTTCTTGCTGCCGTGCTCGAACAAATTGGCGGTCACAGAAGCTGGTACATGAGCCGATTCTGTAGCAAAACTGACCTTGGCATGCTGGCAACATGGCAAAATACGAGATGTTGTGCCTTACTCGAGCGCTAGCATTGCATGTCTGGCCATCTAGATCATTCTATTATGATCTAGCTCTTGGCAGCAGGCTGGCCCATGACCATCGCACTCCTCGGTTGGTTCAAGCTGCTACATGTAGAGGTGCCGCAAACAACTGGCTTGAGGGCAAAGGTGAGCATTTGGGAGGGGGTGACTGCATGTTGTGTTTCAGGCTGTTTCAGGCAAAAAAAGCGATAAACATGTGCACTACCATGCACTACCTACATTATCGGATATCGTTAAAAACACATTCAGATGCGTCATGCAAGGTCAACTCTTAGCCTTATCACACCTTGTCACATTTCCATACATTTCCACCACCCAGACAAGCACCAAACAAGCCGTGGCTTGAGCTCCAGACTGCACAGCGCTGGACGCCTCTGCCTGTCTCAGAGCGCGGACCTGCAGAGCTTCGTGCAAAACCATCACATTCACACAAAAGATCACACATAATTTCATGCAGCATATGCTAATCATCATTGCACGCCCTGGCCGCGAGTCTGTTGCGATTTCCGACTGTGATACGGTGTGCCTCGGTGTTGTCTTGCACCACTGGTTGTGCAACATCCAGCTCTGCAGAGTCCTCCGGAATTTTAGTGAACTTAAGGGAGCAAAGTCACTCCAACCCAAAGATCCCAAAGGGCAAAAAATGACAGAATGATGATGAATCATGTCAGAATTGTCACCCTTCGATGATTTTCCTACGTCAAACTAAAAATGGCATCAGCCTTTCGGTAGCTCCTCCGCTGCCGGAGCGACGAAGGCCGACGTGTCCGCATCCGACCTGCGCAGGAATGCCAAAAAGAGCTCCTCACTGATGCTTACCAACCATTGCTGGAAATCTTTGGAGACTGCCCAAGAAAAACTTCCTCCCGAGTTTCTAGCCCAGTGATTGCTTTAAGCCAAAGGTGATTGGCAAACAGGTCAACTGTCACAATCATTATCATGGTATCTTATATTATCTCTCTCTTGCCCTCAGCGCCATGGTCCTTGACTGATATTTGAAGAAACATCCTATCTCTCGTATCATCATCTTTCTTCATCTTTATTGAAATATTTATCTTCTTTTTTTTCATATTTTTTCTATTTTTTTCTATCTTCATCCTCTGCCACCAGGGGGGACCAGGATGACCAGGTCCAGGCGCCTGGAAGGCGCCGGCTCCGGCTTTGGCTCCGACTTTGGCTCCGACTTGGAAGGCTCTGAAGGCTCCGAAGGCTCAGGCGCCAGGCCAAGTGCCACGGCTTCCTGACAACATCTGACAACTTTCAGGCCATGGCTGAACCATCTGAGTTTGGAAAATGTTGTTTTTAAATTTAAAAACATGTTGGAACATTGATGAACATTGTAACATGATGTACCATGTATACAAAAATCTGGGAAAACCGAGGAAATTTGCAAACATTTTTGGTTCAATCCGCGACCTATTGATGGATCCATTCATACCTCTTCTGTGCACAGTTGTTCATGTAATTGTATGGATGCATGTCTGATGATCATATTCGTAGCATGTTTCTTATGTGTCTTGATGGTTCTTCGTTGATCTTCGTCTATGTTTATATATGCTGAGACAGTTCCTCTGTACGTCTACATGTCCATGGTAGTGTGGAGGTCATCAGCCGCGTTAACCACAATTCCCAGCCTCCTTCTCTGCCCTCGTCTCAGCAACAGAAGGTTTGACAAATGCAGACTCCCAAACCTGCCAGGCAAGCAACAGCAAAGTCCGAAGCAAGGGCAACATGGGCAAAACAAGTCCCAAATTGCTGGCCTCTTCCTTGATGGCCTTCCGCAGAACCACCTACACAATAGCTGGTCAGCATGGGAGGTCCGTAGCTCCCGGTGCTACATCTCTATTCCCTCTCTTCCCTCTCTGGCCATCTGGTGAAGTTCAGCTTGCCTGAAGGCCATCAGTTGCATGGGTATGGGTCAAAGTCTAAGCCCCACAAAAACCGAGGATTTTGATGTTTTTTGTATCAACCATCTATTCCACTTTTGACCCATAGCCACATTCTATGACATCACCTAGCAGTCTGGCCATCGGCCAGCGCCTGCAGCTCGGAATGATCACCTGCCCCAAGGGATCTCATAAACTTCGTGATCCGAGCGGCTTAAATGTGCATCTTGCCGCATCTTGCCCCGAGTGATGATACTGCTAGTCAATGTCTGTCACCTGTCTGTCACCTGCAAATTTGCAGAACCCAGGGATACCCAGGGTATCTTTGGCTCCGTGCCACCACTGTCGATGACATCAGCGTAGCTTTGTCGCAAGTCCACTGCCTCAAACTATCTATTGAAAAATATGGAAAGCTGAAGTGTGCAGGACCAGTGGAAGATGGGTGGAATTTGGATGAATTGATATACAATTTCGCACACATTGCTGTATGAATGAGGCTGTGGGTCTGTGCTGCTAGTGTAAGACCGGATGGAGTTAGGTCTGAGGGCCATCAAAATGGCATCAAAAATATTCAAATATCATCAAGATGGCTACAACAAGTTCTGAAAGTCCCCTGCATGTCCCGTTCTGCACATTCCCAGCTTGGGGATCTTGGGGCGACCGGACGCCACATAGATTCCGCCGTAAGGAGCGTCGGCACCAGCGGCTTGGAGTCGAGGTGCCAGAGCCTCGGCATGGGATGCATTTTGCGTGGGGAAATCATCTCCTTGGGGCTCCTTGACATCTGAAATCAATGTAATCAATGGAAATCATGTGAATCTGCACTGCAAGGCAGTATGATGTGCAAATATTCTCGCAGCTGTTGGGTCTGCTCCAATCTGAAATACTCTGAAGACCCAGCATGCAACCCACCCTTTCGATCCCTTTTTGGCCAGAAGTCTTGGGCGACGCAGTGCAAACTTTTCGTTCGTGCAGATCTTATGGCATGCTTTCTTTGCCCTGGGAGGTATTTGGGTGATTAGCTCCTGCATTTGGTGGATCTCGGGTCCAAGTACAATTCTGATTAATATACTTCTCTAGCCCATATTGCCCCTTATATATCCATTATATAATAAATGCCAATTTCAATGATATCTGATATCATGTGCAAAATCGGGAGAATGGTGCGCAAGCCATGGAAACACTTCTTCTTCCAAACAAATCCGTTCATGTATGGATAATTGCTCTCTTGTTTGGCATCAAATGTAATGGATGGCATTGAATGGCATTACAGTATATTACACAGTAAATGGATGTAAATGGCGTGAATATGTCCACGATGTTGAGCAGTGATGCACAGGCAGTGGGCTGGAACAAATGCCGAATTCGAGTTTTGTCATGAGCATTGCCTACAGGTAGCTAGCGTGATGGCTGCTCCATGGGGCGTAGCCTTTTGGCCAGCATACCAAATTGATCCAGTTACGCAGTGCAGGACATTTCATGGTGGTTCAAACATTTGATTTCTTCTGGTGCTCAGATTAGGCCACTTTCCTCTGTGCAAATTCGGAAGAGTGTTATCACGTGTCATCAAATATATGTAATTATGTAATTATATGCGGGTGATTGCTTGTTGGATTGCTGGGCCCTAGGCCATTTTACCACCATGCTATGCCAGAATGTCAAGTGGAAAACAGGCAGCTAAACATATATAACTCTTGTCAGTGACACGATAGGACCGATAGGACTGTCGGATGCGAAGAGACAGGCAGCTCCACTGCCGAGCTTCACAAGTGGTTCCCTAGGGTCTGCCAGGACATCCTCGAAGCACATTTCACCGCACTTCACTACATACATCTACATGTATACTATAAGTATCCGTAAGTCAGTGAGAATAGTGAAAACCTAAGCAACATTATGCAACGACCTCGCCGGATGAAGCTTGTGTGTCCTCTGCTTACCCTCTCTCTCCTGGTTTTACTATGTTTTTCGAAATCCGAGGAGCAAAACGCAATGAAGCCGGTAGCAGTTAGAATGAAGAAAAGAACCAACTCTCATTCATATTCACTGGTTCGCGGGGAATTGTTCGATCAGCTCCTACTGCAAGCTGACTCTTGGCTGGCGCGGCGAACCCCATTGTCAGCAGGTGTCCAAGCATTTGAGCGTCGTGGAGCGTCGTTTTAGACGCATCGACGTCGGACGGAAATGGGAAGCCCACCTATCCTGGCTAGTACAGGATCTTTCAGCGACTGAAGCCAGCACAACATGACTTTGGGAAAGGCTGCAAAGCAGGCTTCAGCTTCATAGCTCATCATGCTCATCCAATACATACACACATAGTGTATGTGTACATTAATATATATATATAATATAATAAACATATATAAACACCTGTATGCGCAGTATACAAGACTGTGGTGTCTGTGTGTAAGGCGCGGGTCTAAGGCACGTCTTTGGCTTAGCCTGTAGCGGCTATGGCGTTTCTCAGGTTCTTGCTAATGTGGGAGACGTTTTCTCTCATGGAGGCAATCTTGTCTGGCCTCAGCGCTTTCAGTGTAAGTAATCTCAGACTGGTCCATATGCCTTAGCCGGGGAGTGCTCGCTTGCCTCAGTTGAACCGAACACCAGGAATGCAAATCATTGAAACGTATAAAAAGAAAGTGTTTCACAAAAAGCCGGTTGAAAATTGAAAAGTAGTAGATTCTGTATATAAATGAAAATCAGAGCAAATTTTCAAGGACTTGCATCCTACCCCTGCTATCAAAATTCACCAACTTGCATAATGTTCTGCTTGCAAACCACCCTCAAGGCTTAGAAATCTGGGCTTGTTCACTCACTAGGGGGAAATACTTTCTTCCTCCATGTTCCGACAAAGAAAACGATCTGCTGTGATCTCCAAGCTGCAGCAACTCCACCGGTGGAGCTTGCCATCTGGTAGGCCTTCGGAGGAGAGTGGTGCTTGATGTCAAGGCCGGTAGATTCGGTCTCCTGCCGTCAGCTAGGAACCAGCAGCAGCTTCAGAAGTGATTTAGCCTGTTCTAAATCAGAGTTGATTTCCTTCTGACAGACTATTGGCATCTGGTTTCCTAAGGAGCCACTTTTCCCAAGCACTCAACAGACTCAACAGTTCAACATTCTGAATCTTGGCTCCTCTCAACCCTCGCTGTTTACACCTAGATGATTTCTGTGGCACTTCTTCATGTGTTTTACCCGTCTCTTAGATCTTGGGAGGAAGATAAGGAAGACATGAGAAAAAACATTGAAAAAGCAAGCCTGCCCTTTGCCCACCGCAGCTGCAGCCTCATCAATTCGCAGCAAGCCAGTTTTCTTGAGGATGAAGAAAGCCAAAAAGGAGAAGCTTCCAGCCCAAACGATGACCTGCAAATGCAAGTCGAAAAGGACTTGAGATGACTTGAGAAAGGTGCTCCATGCAACAACACAAAGAGGCAATGTGCATGTAAACCAGTGCAGTGTCTCTGAGTTTGCAAGTCTCTAGCGGGCACAGCACGGTAGATCAGCTCACATTGTTCACCTATCCACACTTTCCGGAGTGCTCCAGAATGGAAAAAATACCATTTATCAGACCTTTGAGCCAAGGTGCCATAAGGATCAGGATAATGTTGGCAGCCACTCCAGTTCCTCCAATGTTTTGCCTGCATACGTTCGCATCGTCTGTCATGCAGTCGAATCCATTCCAGCCATGGTAGTGGTTCATGCCTGCGCCCCAGTCGAAGAGGCCTGGTGCAAGTACCGCGCCCATTTGGACATGACTTTAACGTCTCTAAGATGTTGGAGCACCCGACAATGATCGACAATCCGCGCACGATCGTGCTATATCGTGCTCTTCTCCCGTTGCCCGCTTGATCCACTTGCATGCGCAAAGAATTGCCCATCGGTGGACATGAGTGCAATTATATACTAGTTACTAGTAATATACTGTAGATATAATTGGATGGAATTGGCATCATTAGTGCATTATTAAGTATTATTATATAGAATTCATTAGATATAATTAGCACCAACATGCACCAACCAGTCAACCAGCATCAATTAACCTGGAGAGTGGGCGCTTAATGCGTCGAAAATTTGGCCAAGCTGCTGGCAGCCAACACTCCCCAAATGCCGCAGAAACCGTGGACTGGGCTGGCATCCACAGGGTCATCTATATGCAACTTTTGCAGCAACATGGAGGCGCCTGTTCGTGCACCAAGCACAGCCAGCACATGACACCAAATCACCCCAAGAACTGAGCAACATATCAGCTCAGAATAGATGTTGGGTAGAATGTGTGGCAATATGTGGTCATGCTGTATGGCTTTGATATACTTAGTTACTTAAGTTACTTTATCTTCAGTCATACTTAATCATACTTGGAGGTTTTCGCCACAAATCTGACATGACAAGACAGCTGCTGCAGTGGTCCCAGTCCATGATGCATCTCTTGACAGATCTCGGCAAATGGCAGGGTTTGGGTGGCAGTTCGTTGCAGTGACATAGGTCAATAATGGTCAATATGTCTTCATTTGTTTTGATTTCGCTGGGGCCTTGATACACAAGTGCACCCATGAAGCCGGTGAAGCAAGCGCTGCCACATTCCATGCTGCCACAGCCAGCAGTAATCGACACCAAACCGGCCAGAATGCCTCAGCTCCCATTCATTGAATCATTGCAAGCGGCTGCATTCCCGACAGCATTTAGACTTCTTATATACATCATATGAATCATATGTCATATATCGTCATATTACATTTATGCGCATTCATGAGTGGATCTATATACTGAACTTCAAATTCATTCCCAAGTGCATCAAGACATGCATAGCACTTTTTCGAGCTCAAACCGCACTGTGCAAAGCTGTGGCATGTGTCATCCCTCAGGCGTTCTCCCGGCCAATCAAACGCCACAAAGGGCCACGACTTGAGAGCCACCTCACATTGGTACCATCTGGGACCAAACGACCTGATGCTTTGTGGTCGTGATATTCCTTCTTGGTGTACTTGGTGAAGCCGAACTTATTGGAGACATGAACTTTCTGCCGCCCGGCAAACTTGGCACTGGCACGCCTGAGGGCCTCCACAGCGAATTGAATCTTTTCCTCCTTGGCAAAGGGATGAGCACATATGAGCACTAAAGTATACTAAACTCACATGAAGTCAATAAACATAAATCGCATTAAACCGCATTAAATCGCATGAGACATAAGCGGCCTTGGCACAAGGAAAGTCACATAAAGAATGACAAATAAAGGTATAGCATAAGCATAGAAGGTCCTTCTATGCAATGCAACGTGCTATACTGCTTTGCAAAAACTGCAAGGCATGACCACCACTTTGCCCTCTCAGATGTCCTTGGTGCGAAGTGAGATAAGCACTTGGCCGATGTCCACTCGCGCTGCTGTCCCGTAGGGCTTTCCAAAGGCTCCACGCATGCCACTGGAAAGTCGATCTGCACCCGCACATGACAAAGTCTTGTTGATGCGAAGCACGTTGAACGGGTGAGGTCGGATCCGGATGTGGAAGAAGTCCTGTCACCACGTTGTCACATCTATCGCCATCAACGAGGCCCCTGTGCCAATCTCTGTTGAGTCAAGTTTGCCAGTGATGGGGATCCGCAACAGGATCTGCGACCTTCTGCAACAGCACCTTTAGAAAAAACAATCTATTATATCCCAGCTTAGCCACTTGCATGGTATCCATACACACCTAGGGACCTAGAGCAGGCTTCGGCTGATAGATGCTACTGCAATGGGACTCCGCCTCCCGTCATCTCCTGTCTCCCGCCATCTCCCGCCCCTACACTGAGTTCACTGTCCTTTCCAGCGTTGGTCGCCATGTATTTGTTCACCGCAATACGTGCCGCCTCCAAGGCCTCTGCAGTCAGCTGCTGGTCTTCGTCACACACCAAGTGCGCAGCAGCGGGGAACTCATCGCAGGGCATCTTCTTCTTTCCTTGGAACAGAAGGGCACCGATGGGCACCCAAACATAGCAGTGAAGTTGGCCAATTTCAGAGGGGTAGGAAATTGTTTAGGGAATTATATTTTTAAGGTTTAGTTTTTTTTTGTTTCTGGCTGTGCCTGTTTTCCGTTCTATCTGCAGCATTTTGGAGCTGGAATCTTCCATTTTGCTATTGGCAGCATTTTTTGAGCTGGAACCTTCCATTTTGCTTCTATTTGCAGCGCTGGAACCTTCCATTTTGTTTGCTATTTGTAGCATTTTGGAGCTGGAATCTTGCATTTGTCATGCTATTTGCAAGCCGTTGTTGGTTGTTAGTTGTTGTCTGTTAGTTGTGGGTTGGTGTAGCTGGAGGAACACACCAACAACTGCTGATGGTTTTCTTAGTTTGGGTGTAGGCAGTGCTTGTGATTTCCTTATGCTTGTGGTTTTGGTTGCGGTGAACACCAACAAAGCCATGAAGTCAAGAAACCCTTAATCAACACTTTGCAAAACTGGCAAAACCACCAAGGCCGAAAAAAACAAAAAAAGAGTTCGCGTGGTGGTATGAACAAAATTTTCAGCATTCTGCAACGTCAACTTGCGTTGTGGAGATAAAAACCCTCTCATTTTGCATGGCATCTGCGACATTTGGAAGGAGCATGTCAAACACATTCAAAGAGTCTATGTTTGGACATGATTGGAACAGGTTGCAAACATGATTTTCTCTCCGTTCTGGTATGATGAGTGTATGATGTGCCTCTTATCCGTCAAACTCTTCTAAGGCGAAACATGCGGAGCCATTGATCTTCAATGGCACATTTCCATACATTTCCTGGTTCATAAGTGCTGGAAAGCAGGCCGTGCTCTCTTGTAGGCTGTGAAGGGGCCTGGTTGCAATCCATGTCAAAGTGTTCAGAATCCGTTTCTGTATTTTTTTTACAACAGTAAGCACCGACATTCACATGCATACATACATAATACATATTATAATATACATACTAGGTATCTATAGATATACTTACACGCACTCAGCACATACATATTTGATGTTGTATATTATAATACATCCAGCACACACACATATATTATATATTATCTATATGTATTATATGTTGTATAGATTTGTAATGATTTGTATAGAGTACATTGGCCATACTCTCTAGTTGTCCACATGAACTGTGTCAGCTTGGCTTCCTACATCGAAGATGCGGATCTTGGGATCAGGCACACCTCGGCAATAGCGGGTCTTAGGGTACGGCTTGTTCTTGTTGTAGCGGTAGCACTTTGCCGGTCGCCGACCCATGATGACCTCCTCCAACAGTTGGAATGTGCAGTGCTTGAGCCAAAAACCTGTAATTCCCAGAGACTCAACACACCAGTCTTCGCATCTGGTTTCCAAACAGCACCCCCGGAGGCCGAAGGCAGCCCCAAGGCCTTCCAGCATACCAGGCTCATGTACCCACAAAGCATCACAAAGCAACAAAACATCAGGCTATGATTTTACTTTACAAGCATCTGGAAGCATGTCCAAGCATCACATGCATAGAAAATATGTAGCATCAAAGTCAAACACCATTTTGAACAAAACCCTTTGAACCGACCAAATATGGTCAGATTGCACACCTGTGATACATCTGTATAACAATCCTGAAATTGACGAACGGTATCAAACAGCATCAACCAGTTCCTCACAAATGCCCTATGTGATAAAGAAGGCTGGGAATCGGCCAGTATGGCCAAGCTGGCCAAGTTACCGTTGCAAAGGCCACCGACATCATACTTTCCAGTGATGAATGCCCTGGGCAAAAAGGTAGCAACTTGACAAAGCAGTCAAAGATGTGAAAGCAACTGCAAAACTGCAATGAACATCAATAGTCATCAATTAACAGGGTTCAGGAGGACAGGAAGTCTCTTTTCGTTTCTCCGTCAATTGCTTCCGAGACGCCGGAACAAGAAAACGCACAGGCCACCAGTGGCTGCCGAGATGGTCGTGTTCATAGCCACCTGTGCTGCCATCGCGCCCGTCGAGCCACTCCTCATGCCCAAGGTGGATCCAGGGTTGAAACCATACCATCCTGGGATGCAGTGCGATATCGCGGACAGCTTGGAGCGAATAGAAAATGATGAAAGCGTTGGCTCAGGGGTTGGCAGCAAGTTTTCTCTTGGCACCTTTGTGCAGTTTCACTTATGGCAGACGTATGGAATCTTGAAAGTTTGGAGGTTCACGAGTGGACTGAGTGGACCGAACCAAGAATCCGAACCACAGGCAAAAGGTGCCAAGGACCACAAGTGGAAGGTTGTGGGCCTCAAAACGGCGCCGTGATATCAAGCCCTTGCTCTAACATTTGGGAGTTCTGCGATCAAGATGATGGCCCACCGCAGTAAACAATCGCTGAAATTAATTGAGCAACATATTTACACACTAGTCTACGCACACAAATGTGCGTGTACATATATATATATATATCAAATATACATACAATTATATACGTATATATATATACACACCAAAAATTATATATACACTTGCATACGTATTATAAACCTATACGGTCTATACACATATATATATATATATATAAATAAATAAACAATTTTATGCGTGTATGGCCAATATATAATATAAAAATACAATTATATACACAACTATATACACGTATATATATAATTAATTACACACATATATAACCATATATTGTGGAGTGCGTTGGCTTCTTTATTTGCCATTTCTGTAAAATCCAGAAACTATTTCTTGCACAGGTAGAAACCATTTGCTAAATTCTAGAGACCATTTGCTAAATACTAGAAACTATTTGCTAAATACTAGAAACTATTTGCTGCATACTGGAAACTATTTTGCTAAATACTGGAAACCATTTGCTAAATACTAGAAACCACTTGCTAAATACTAGAAACTATTTGCCAAATTCTGGAAACCATGTGCAAAAAACTAGAAACCATTTGCTAAATACTAGAAACCATCTGCTAAATAAGTAGGATATGTAGAAACTTTTTTCAGGTAAAGTAGAGCATGTAGAAACCATTTGCTAAATCATGTTGATTTCCCAGAAACCATTACTTGAATCAAAGGGGTAATATTTGCAAGTAAAAGTTGATATTGACCATGTTGTCAGGGCAAACCTGGTCAATCTTGGAACACGCATTTGCCAATGGTAGTTTGTGGTGAGAAAGAACTAATGTCTTTACCGCACATGCCAGTTTAATAGTACTAGAGCCTCCTTCACCCATGGCTCACCACACTGAAACTGTTGACGCTTGAAACTTGAAACCATCTAGAATCCAATTGGGAGTACTATCGCGCCATACCAGTTGCAATGCTGTTTCAATCCAGGAAAGGGTGTGTCAAACAGCAACATAAACACATACCCTGTCCCAGCGCAGTTTTTGCCAAATGCACCATACAACGCCGCGAATAATTCCACACGCGATGCCCACAAGTTGTGGGATCAAAAAAAATGCTCCCCAAACAAAACCATGTGGCTGATAGCCTTTGCGGGTGAGTTGGGGGATGGTGTTAGCAGGCCTTTGCCACATGGCATTTTAGACACCTCAGAGGATACCCAAGTCAGGGGTTTCCCGCAAAAGTCCGGACTGGTGTCTCTATTTGTCAAGGTCTGTCGCGGGAGCCCGGGGGGTCCGGTTTCGTCGGGAGCCTACCAGCTTAACCTTCCTAAGAGGTAAATATGAAAGGAAACTATTTCTTAAATCCCAGAAACTATTTCTTAAATCCTGGAAACTATTTCTTAAATCCCAGAAACTATTTCTTAACTCCCAGAGATTATTTCTTAAATCCCAGAAACTATTTCTTAAATCCTGGAAACTATTTCTTAAATCCTGGAAACTATTTCTTAAATATTTCTTAAATCCTAGAAACTATTTCTTAATCTGGGCCCCAAACCCAGAAACCATTTACAAAACCAGGATTGCTTTTACCAATCCCAACCATTGGACAAGGATAGCAGTCAATCACTTAAAGTCCAGAGATTGCCCCAGACAAGTGAGCCATGTTCTCACCGAGAGAGAGAGGCTGCCACGCAGGCACCCTTCATTCTGTTTCGATCTATGTTCATTCTGTTTCGTTCTATGTTCTTTGACTCCTCATCTCAGAATCAGTCACTGTTTCTTTCTTACTTTTCAGTCTGTAAGGAGTTTCAATATGTCATAATGTGTCTATATGTGTCTATATTTGTCAACTTAGGTTTTATTTATCTTTATTGGTATATTGTCTTGTTGATGATTTAAGGCACAGTAAGGGTATCACAGAAACCGTTTCAAACCGTTTCCCGCTACTTGCTAGGTAATAGTCCGAAACCGTCCGAAACCGTTTCCTACTATCTGCTAATTCACCCTGGCAAAAACAAATAGTTTCAAATAGTTTCAAATAGTTTCTGAGAATGGCTAATTAGCAAATAGTCCGAAACCGTTTCAAACCGCTTCCCGCTACTTGCTAGGTAATAGTCCGAAACCGTTTCAAACCGTTTCAAACCAATCCCTAGAAGGCGTAACTTGAATTACTTTTTTAGTGTTTTTATTAATGCATTTTTTGGGATATTTTTCAAAAGTTTCCAAAACTTTGATTTATTTAGGAAATAGTTTCTGCAAATTGGGTTGATTTAAGAAATAGTTTCTGTAAATTGGGTTGATTTAAGAAATAGTTTCTGTAAACTGGGTTTCTTTAAGAAATAGTTTCGAATAGTTTCCCACTTTAGGGTTGATTTAGGAAATAGTTTCTGTAAATTGGGTTTATTTAAGAAATAGTTTCTGGCCTCCACAGACAAAGAGGCCAAGGCACTCCCCAAACCATATATAATTACATATATACATATGCATACACATAGCATACGTATTGCTATATAGTGATTATGTGTATCGCTCATTGGCCCTCCCTCTCTCTCTCTCTCTGTCTTAGTGTTTCTTTAATGTTTCTTTACATCAAATCTCTCTGGCTTCGGGTGATTCAAGGCAAGGTAGCCGAAGAAGTTGGTAAAAGCCACCTACGTACATTAAATTCCCATCTGTACAAATATGTATGTGTATATATATATATATACACATATGCAGAGCCAATGATATATATATATAATTTAAATAATTGGGTCAAGAAAAATAGAAATTTTATACTGGAAATACCAGTACAAACAGCATGTCGGGGCGTCGTGGGGGGGGGGTGACCACACACACATACAGTATATATATATAATTATATATATATATAGATAAATGAAGAGTTTCATGGGCACTAAACGGACCAGGACCATCCATGACCCACTTTTCCTACATGTTTTACCATGGTTTACCGACCGTTGAATTGCCAACAGCTGCAATGTCTGCTGGAAGGCCTCAAACTCATCAGGGCGTTCGAATCGGCCCTTGCGAGGTCCCAACACCACTGTGCCAGCAAGGGCAGAAACGCCACCAGTCAGGTGCACAATGCCTGAGCTGTTTGGAGATCTTTGTTTTTCTTTTGGGTCTGTGGGGGTGGTGCTCCGATAACTCTAGAGCGGGCGAGCAAACAAATAGCATCAAACAGCTATTATAATCATAATTGCTACGATACTTTAAAGCTGGATCGCTCCCTCGATGCGATTTCGTTATTCTTCCCAGCTACATGAAGACGCGATACACGAACAACCACACACACACATGTACACATATTGATATTCATGTACATCATTGTACATCCATATCTGAATGCAAAAACTCACAAGTCTAACCGAGTCTAACTTTCCTTCTCTCTCTCTCTCTCTCTGTCTCTCTCTTTAAACGTTCCTGCAGACCTGCATCTTCCAGGGCAGCACTTTACACGCGAAGACACTCATACTTGGCTCATACTTAGGATTGCCAGTTGGAGGAAATACACGGCACCTACCGAAAATAGATTCCAGGCCCCAGACTCTTTCCTTTCATAATGTCCATAGAGTTTCGTCATGTTTTCGCCTCCGCATTTTGGTACTGAT